CAAAAAAAAAGACATACAAGGTTGGACTTCCTGCGGAGCAATCAGGCTTCCCAACAGTGATGTTTCCTGCTCCCTCCAGTATTTTTAATAAAATGAACAACTCTGACAGCAGCTGAGACATGACTGATGTCTGCAGACCTGAAACTTACTGCTAAATAAATTAAAGTGGTGGTCTGAAGAGGTTTAAGATTTAAACTAACATTTACAATGTGATCAAGTTTCTGCTTAATTTTCTGTAAAAACTCACGTTAGGAGGCTGTAAATAAAATGTGTAAAAATGTGTTTGTTTACTGTTTGATGGTAAACTCCTGGAGTGATGACTCTGATGAGAGACCTCAGTTAGAGCAGGAAGTACCACGGTTGAAAGAAGACAAATGTGACTCGATGAGACAGAAGAAGATGTCATGGATGTTTTCTGTCCCATCAGAACACAGATCACAGATAAGAGGCCCCGAGCTTCTCTGGTGTTTATCCACTGATGTGAAAAGCTCTACATCACCAGATGGAGGCAATCACACTTCATCAGTTACAGCTGCTCTTCTTTTTCTTTTTCTTTTTTACAGAACTCTGAATCAATATACTTCATTATACCTTGAAATAAAATTATATTTTATTATTTTCTTAAAATTAAAAATAGATCTACTCTCTTTAATTTTTTTAGACTGACTGGTCCACAGATTTTTTTCTATAAATAGAAATACAATGAACCATTTGTTTAGTTCTGACTTTGGCTTTTTTTTAAATCACTGATCCTTTCAAATTATAAATGCTGTCTCTTTTAATAAATATTTTTTGCAAATGCATTGGTAACATAATGTTATGTATTTTAAACATAACTTGCAGAATATAATAGTCCAAGTCGTGAAATGTCATTAATTTTAAGTTACAGAACAATGGATTTGTTGGATCTCTGTAGCGTTTTCCACTTATAATTCTAACAGCTCTTTTTTGCAGAATAAAAATAGAATTTGTATATGATTTACAGGCATTCCCCCAAACTTCTACACAATAGGCCAAATAGGGAACGATGAGTGAATTATACAAAAATATCAGCAATGCTTAATCATTTAATGAGTCTTTCACTTTATATAATAATGCAATTACCCTTGATATTTTTATCTTTAAATTATTGATATGTGAGAGTAACACCCAGGAATTTGACCTGTCACACGCTTAATTACAACCCCATCGACATCAGTCAACACATCTGTAGGAATCTCTCTATAACTAAATATCATCTAGTTAGTTTTTTCCAACATTCATTGATAATTTATTTACATTCAACAATGTTTTTATTTTACTCAAATCATTTTTAACTACCTCCAACACAATTGTCAAATTTTCACCAGAATAGAAAAAAGTGGTGTCATCTGCAAAGAGAAAACTTTGAAGATGTCTAGGTACGTGAATTAGATCATTGATGTGTAAAATAAAAAGTTTGGTCCAATAACTGACCCCTGGGGCACTCCACAGTTTATATAATGTAAGTCAGATCTGACATTGTTAATCTCTACAAACTGTTTTCTAAATATCTGGAGACCCATTCGTGCACAAGACCTCTAAAACCATATTTACTTATCTAGCAGTATATTGTGATCAGTGGTATCAAAAGCTTTTTTTAAGTCTACAAATATATTTACAAAATAATGTTTTTTGTCTAAACCAGCAGATATTTCTTCAAGGCCATTGAAGTGGAATGATTTTTACGAAACCCATACTGATTACCAGTGGCGGCTCATGGAGTTTCCACCGGGGGGGCTATAATTCCAAAATAGAATGTGCTGAAACACCTTTCTGACTCTGCAGAAGTCATCAGGGTTGTGATGGCTATTTGATCTGTGACATCACTAAAATAAAGTATTTTGTGGATAAAAAAAGGGTTTGAGAATAAAACCTAAATAAATTAAATACAAATAAAATGTATTATTATAGATGCAAGAATGTCTTGATGTATTTTATCCTCAAAGTATCCATGGAGAAAACTGGGTCACAGTTTTTACCGAACTTATAAAAAGAGACATGAGTTTGACAGCAAGGGGGTGTGGCAGTTGAAGCAGGTGAAGAGACGCAGCAGGACGGGTGGAGCTCCAGAGTTTGTCCAGGATAGATCTCTCTTCCTTGTATGCAATAGATTAAATTAAGTTATTTCAGAGAATCTTTATTTTCCTACGTAAAGTCAAATCAGTGAGACGATTCAGTTTGTTTGGTGTTAATTTTCATGAAGGAGTGTGTGAGTGGCGGATTATTTAGAAGTTTTGGTCGGAACAGCTGATTTGTTTATTATATACAGCGTGCTCCACTCTCCTGCACTTCTGAGCAGACATGTCCGAGCGAGTTTTATTTGACTGATGTTTACAAATTGCTCTTTAACATAATCATATTTCTAACCTTTGAAAAATAATTTAAAGAACTCTCTTGTGTGTAAAAACCGGATTCCAAAAAAGTTGGGACACTAAACAAATCATGAATAAAAACTGAATGCAATGATGTGGAGGTGCCAACATCTAATATTTTATTCAGAATAGAACACAAATCACAGATCAAAAGTTTCAACTGAGAGAATGTATCATTTTAAGTGAAAAATCTGTTGTTTCCAAATTTCAAGGCGTCAACAAATCCCAAAAAAGTTTGGACAAGTCCATTTTTACCACTGTGTGGCATCCCCCTTCTTCTTACAACACAACAGACGTCTGGGGATGGAGGAGACCAGTTTCTCAAGTTTAGAAATAGGAATGCTCTCCCATTCATGTCTAATACAGGCCTCTAACTGTTCAATCGTCTTGGGTTTTCTTCGTCGCACCTTCCTCTTTATGATGCGCCAAATGTTCTCTATAGATGAAAGATCTGGACTGCAGTCTGGCCATTTCAGTGCCCGGATCCTTTTCCTACGTAGCCATGATGTTGTGATTGCTGCAGAATGTGGTCTGGCATTATCGTGTTGAAAAATGCAGGGTTTTACCTGAAAGAGATGACGTCTAGATGGGAGCATATGTTGTTCTAGAACCTGAACATAGTTCTCTGCATTAAAGGTGCCTTTCCAGACATGCAAGCTGCCCATGCCACAAGCGCTCATGTAACCCCATACCATCAGTGATGCAGGCTTCAGAACGGAGAGTTGATAACAACTTGGGCTATCCTTGTCCTCTCTGGTCTAGATGACATGGCGTCCCAGTGTTCCATAAAGAACTTCAAATCGTGACTCATCTGACCACAGAACAGTCTCCCATTTTGCCACACTCCATTTTAAATGACCCCTGGCCCAGTGCAAACGTCTGAGCTTGTGGAGCTTGCTTAGAAATGGCTTCCTCTTTGCACTGTAGAGTTTCAGCTGGCAACGGCAGATGGCACGGTGGATTGTGTTCACTGACAATGCTTTCTGGAAGTATTCCTGAGCCCATTCTGTTATTTCCTTGACAGTGGCATTCCTGCTTGAGGTGCAGTGACGTTTAAGGGCCCGAAGATCACGAGCATACAGTAGAGTTTTACGGCCATGACCCTTACGCACAGCGATTGTTCCAGATTCTCTGAATCTTTTGATGATGTTATGCACGGTTGATGATGATAACTTAAAAGTCTTTGCTATTTTACGCTGAGTAACACCATTTTGGAATTGCTGCACTTTCTGCGCAACAATGGTGGAATTGGTGATCCTCTTACCATCTTGGCTTCTGAGAGACACTGACACTCTGAGAAGCTCTTTTTATACGCAATCATGTTGTCAATTGACCTAAGTAGTGTTAATTGGTCTTCCAGCTGTTAATTATATCCTCAATTTCCTTTTTCCTTCCACTTATTGCTACTTGTCCCAACTTTTTTGGATTTGTTGACACTGTGAAATTTTGAATCAACATATTTTTCCTTTAAAATGTTACATTTACTCAGATTAAACTTTTGATCTGTCATCTATGTTATATTACGAATAAAATATTGACATTTGCCATCTCCACATCATTGCATTCAGTTTTTATTCACAATTTGTTTAGTGTCCCAACTTTTTTGGAATCTGGTTTGTATAAGCTCCGTTTAGACGGGTTTGTTTTCAATGAGAAGACTGCACGAGGTGCCGCTGCGATGAGCCCAGATTCTGACGAGTGCACGATTTGTTTTTATGCAGATTAAACCGCATTCAGTTCAACGCTCATCTTCTGGTCATCATAAAACACAACGCAGAGTGAACTATAAGAAAAATTAAAGCTGCAAGCAGCATTGAAGGCCCTCGCATCAAAGCGGCGCTTCGGCCTTACGGCAACTGCAGGAGCTCCAGCGACTCAGCCCAGTCGCCATTGCGAATGCTGTCGCGCCCGTCCCGCGCTCGTTCACCAGGGTGCGCATTCGCCGAATCTTCCACATCACCTACGACTGCGGGAGCTCCAACAACGCCTCCCAGTTGCCATCGTGAACGCTCTCGTGCCATTCTCGGACACATCCACCAGGGTTCAGATATGCCGAAACTTTGCAATCACCTTCCGCCCGTATCAGTATGAGTCCAGTTGAAAGCCTTACAAGTTTGGCTAAAATCCGACCTTCCAGACGGGAGTTATTGTCACTCCTGTTTTCTCGTGAATGTAAAGGACTTCCTTTAGGCTTTTCAGCATGTCATAATAATAATAGTAATAATTTGCTGAGATACAACTGATTAAATAATCTAGGGGGCGCACTGGAGTCATATGTTAAATCACAATATCAATGTGTCTAGACGTGGTCACTATGCACAAAAAAATCTGGTTCCGATCGGATGATGTATCACTGAGATATAATTGTTGGAATAATCTAGGGGGTGCAATGAAGTCAAATATTAAAGAACAATACCAATGTGTCTAAGTGCTTACTGATCATGCACAATAAATCT